TCTCTTCTCTGAGCTGCCGTCTCCTCTTCTGTTAAGTGGGAATTGTAATAATACCTCCTCTGGAAGGTTGATCTTGGGAGTAAATGGACCTTTGGATGTGAAACTGGGTTTGGGTTTGGAAGCGGTTGGGCCTACAGCGCTTGATCTGGGGATCAGTTTTCCCTGAGAAGAGCTGGGTTTTCGTGTGTGTGTGTGTGTGTGTGTGTGCGCGCGCGTGCGCGCACGCGCACGCGCATGTGCAACCATCAACCTTTGAACCAACGTCGTCACTGTCTCTTGGTCTGGGCACATTCTCGTTCTTTGTTGATGTCCACCAGAGGTGTGCAAAGTTCAGACTCTTAGTGTGCCAGGGTCCCTTCTGCATCCCCCTGTCCCCAGTGGGGGATACCACCTACATCCTTTGTCCACATCTCCCATCAGCTCCCTCCGGTGAATCCCAGACCCCAAAGCTAAAAAAGCTTTCCCTAATCTGTGCCCTGACCTCCCAGACCCTGAAGCTCCACCTCTTCTTCATCCTCCTGAGGCCTCTTCCCCCAGAGTCTTGCCCTCTGGGATTGTCAGCTGTTCCTCGTGGAGGGTTAATGACTCATGGCAAGCTGAACTTGCCTCCCTCAAATGGTGACCGTTCAAAAGGTGTGACTCGGCGGAAGGAGAGAGACCACCTCTGAGCCATGCACCCCTGGGCAAAGTGCCTTTCCCTCCCAGGCCCTTGGCTTCCCTCTGAGTTCAAATCCACGGAGGGCGGGGACCCAGCTGTCCCACGGAAAAAGGCCTTGTGATGTGTACTGTGTCTGCATTTCCACGTGTGCATTTATTGTTATTGCTCAGTATAGTGTTGAAAAGGCAGACAAATCCCATTAATTACAAAGAGCACAAGCCAGAGATACAGAGAAATCAAGAGTGTACAATAAGAGCACAGTCACGTCCCAGCCCCGATTTCCCCAGAGCCCCCCAGAGCCCGGGTAGCTCGTGGAAGCTGGAGGCGGCACCATTTCCTCGCTACTCTGGTATAAAATATGTGCACGCGAGAGTTAGCAAAGTGTGGCGACTAACCCCTCCCCGCCCCGAGAGGAAAGGTGAGGAGAGCACCACAGGCGTTACAGAACAGACTTAGGGAGCCGAGAAGGGCAGTCCCAAAGCAGCCTTAAATATCTTGTTTTCGGTGGAGGGGGTGATGGCTGATGCCCAGGGCCTGGGATCCCCCTCCCCCCACTTGGATGAACAGGATCTTTACATCAAAATCAGGAGAGCTTGCTTTGGAACTTGGGAAAGACCTGGGGATTTTCTGCTGTTGTTTGATTTCAGCCTCGGCTCTGGAGGACCCAGACGCCTTCAGAGAAACGCAACCCATCTCCACCCCACCCGCCATCTTCTAATGGTGGGATCTCCGACCCTACGGAGAGAGTTTTGTGTGGGAGGCACGTCACAGCGTGCGTTTGACAGCCTGCTGTAAGTAGAGCCAGAACCACTAGGGGGAGTCATCAGGGTGGTGAGAAGGTCCAGGCAAGAGATTGCTGCATCCCAAAGGACGTATCACAACTGCTGAAAACTGTGAAAAATGAGCAAGAAGTGACCCTCTCCCCACCAAAATAGTTCAGGAAAGGGATATAGGAATAAACATTTCTCCATGAGGAGAATTGGTAACTGGGCTACACGTTCTGGTAGCTCCAGGTCTGGGAGAGACCCCTCTTTCTTGCCTGGACCAGGGCAGATGGCGGGTCCACCTCAGCACAGCCAAGGTGGGTGACTTTGGGTCCCACACTGAGATTGGGTGGGGGCTTGGTGGCCTCTCCTAACGACACCCTGGCTTAGGGGACAGGTGAGATGATGGGAGGACTATCTGGCTTCCCTCAAGATTCAGGATGTCCTTTTTATTTCTCCTTAGAGGGCTGTCTATTTAGTGAGCTGGGGTGGACAGTGCTTACAATGGTGGGAAGATGTTTGCACCTACAATGAAAGGGCCCAATATTTGGAGTGAGAGGAGGGCAGGAGGATGCAGGACTCGGCAAAATTTTAAGTTTACTTGGAAGAATCGATGTGAGAGAATAACCAGGAAATTTTGTAAAAAAAAAAAAAAGAAAAGAAAAAAGCGAAGGGTATTTATCCCACCACATAATGAAACACTATATAAAGTGACAATAATTAAAACTGTGTGGTTGGTGCCAGATGAGACACCCAGATAAGGGAACAGAGGAGATATTCCAGAAATAGACCCAAGTCTCTCTGAGCTGTCAGGATGTGGTAAAGGGGGAATTTCAGCACAGTTGGGGAAGAGCGGCTGTTCAATAACTGGGATGTCCGGGCTGAGACAGGTCCAGGGTCCTTGTCCCAGTGCAGTCACTATCATTGGTCTGGTCTCAGAAGCAGGGGGCCCTCCTTCTTGTCCACTCTCTGCTCTGGTTGGGACAAGGGGGCAAGGGGCTACGGTGGGGGGCTGGTGGGAGCAACCCAGGCTGCTGCTGAGTTAGGGAACGAAACTCTTCAGTTTCCTCCCTGTCCACCTCCAAAGGTGGGTGACTCATTGAATGGGTCCCCTGGTCTTCCGTCATCTGTTAGGCGGAGACAGATTGGTGAGCTTAGACCTTGGAACTGAATATGCTACCTTCTCCTGGAGCCCCTGTCCAGAGGGCAGACAAGAAGCTGAGGGGATGGTGCAGTCCAAAACCAGCAAAAAGTATACATTACAGAGTACATATTTACTATGTTCTGTTTTATGTTGGTTTTTGCCTTTTTTTTTTTTAAGACCACAGACATTTCAGAACCATATTGCGGAGTAAGAAGAGTCAGCAATTGAAAGCATCACCATTGCATAGTATTAAATGAACAGAGATGGTGAGTTCTTTATTTACAGTTATTGTCTAGATAAAAAAATTCATAAAAACAGATGAATGGTCATAAATTATTTACCCCCTAATGGGGTGAACTGCCAAACGTACCCCATGCTGCTAGATATAGGACGCCGAGTGCAAGCTCTATGTACTACAGGGAGTTCTGACAAACCAATCATTTCCTGTGTGTGTGGATGTGTGTGTGCAAGTGTGAGGGCGAGGGTGTGTGTGTGTGTGTGTGTGTGTGTGTGTGAGCAACCATCATTCCTGACAAGAAAAGACCAACGCTGACGTGGGGCATTCTCGGTAGCTTCCATGGCTCCCTCTCCCCTGGGCTGGGTCCCACTAGGGGAGACCCCCTCCTGCTTCCCTTGCGTCCTGGCTCCGAATGAGCAGGGAGCGTGGTGTGCAAGCGGGGCTTTCCTGGTGTCATGGAATGAGGTCACGGACACAAGGTTGGAACAAAGCGGGAGATGGAGAACCTTGAAAAAGGAAACTACAAAAAACACCATGTTCCAAAGCTGCCCCAGGTTTTACAGGAGCGGGTCTTTCCTTTCTCTGAGGAGAACAGTGGGCGGTATTGGTCTTGGAATCCCATAAGCATATCTGAGGGTGGTCACCCCTCGGGGGATGCAGTTTCCTCTGCTGGGTACATTCAGAGATATTTCTTCACGACATTCAGGAGATGCTCTTGCGCAAAGAAGGTCCTCCTTCCAGGAAGGTGTTGCCAGGTGGGATGGGCTGACTTGGGGTCCTAAACCCTCGGGTTTCTCCACAGCCATCCAGATGCAGGCCCTCCCAGCTGACTATGGCTCTTTTCCCGAGTGGCTCTCATCTTGTTTGTGGAAGAATTCTCTGGGCCTGGAGAAGGGAAGGGCCCGGGTAGACACAGAGCAACTGTGGGAAGGGTCAGTGTGAAGAATGCATTTTGCAAGCGAGGCAGAAGCGTTTGGTTTTCCTTGAAGCATGGGACATCATCGATCATGGTATTCAAAATGTCTTTTGCACTGTACAAGTTTATGGAAAAAGATCGTATGCTGAAAAGTCTCAAAGCAAACTTTGTATTAAATACAAAAGTTCTTTTATGAAAAAAGCTGATACCCACAAAGTGCTTAGCAGTTAAGAGGCTGACATACAATTAAATAAGCTCTTATTAAGTGGGATTACTAGTGCTGTTATTGTCTCAGGGAAAAAATAACCACCTTTTCTCACCTGTGATACTGTAGGGTTGCAGAATGGCTTTCTGTCTGGGAAAGCAAGACTTGCTGTTCAAAGGCTACAGTATATATTGCGACTACAGGAAGACAATTTGGTTTAAAAAAATCACACTGAATACATCTCAATATACACGTCATAAGGTTCGTTCGGATCTAAATAGTGCAGAGAAAAAGGCTGTTCTTCTTCAAAAATAAAAATAAGAGCAGCAAACCATAATGATCCTCATCCAATAGGCCAACAGCTCATCTGCTGCAGTTCGTAAGGAAACAAGCCTCGAAATTACTAACTGAAAAAAAAATCAACACAATAGCGTTTATAATATTGCAAAACTACCTCAGTCTCTGTACAGACAGCGCCAGAGAGAATCTCTATTTGAAATGCTCTTAGTAAACTCAAGTGAGTTTCATTGAGAGAAAAGTCTTCACCCAGTGCTTTGCCAACCCCGTCACCCTGGGGCCGGGCTGGCCATCAGTGCTTTGAGCGCAGGAAGACTTCTCTCCTCCTCCCCCTTTGTCTACGGAGCACGCTGTGGGACCCCTCGGGATGGATACTCGCTAACATTTGGCTTCTGCCTGAGCCTCCCTCGGTAGTCACATAATTGAACGGAAGTAGCAGGCAAAAATCGGAGCATGGCTATCGTAAAACATCAAGGATGCAATCCAGGGAGGTGTCTATCAGGCTGAGCTGTCTCTATAGCATCTCAGCCACCAGTGTTCTTAAACCGTACAAATAGCCGAAGACGTTATCTACAGGTTTGTAAACAAATTACATTCTTCTTTTAGGACATAAATAAGTTAAAATAGAGCAATTTAAGCAGAAACAAGGCAACATGCCGGCAAAGAAACTTTATATATCCATGTGTGTATATATATATATATATATATATATATATACACACACATATAGACACATATATATCTACCTATCTATATGGACGTATACAGTCTTGGGGAAGTATACGTTGATATAGATACAAAGAAATGGATATAACCTTGTGAGTGTCTGAAGTTCTTCGGTTCCATTGGTGCAAATTTACTAGGCGAGTTAAGCTCTGCAATTTCAAAAAGTTGTTAAATTAACCTATACAACTGAGACCATGCTGCGCAAGCATTTCAAAAACTCACAGACCAGTGGATTGGATAAATAGTCTCAGAAAAGAGTCTGTCTGCAGTTCCCGCCTAAGAAAACAAACAAACAAACAAAAAAAACCCCTCCCCAACCCCCCAAAAACCAAACAAGGGGAGGACCGGAAGTGTACAGTACATTCATGCAGGGGACATGGCGCCGGGCGGGTGCATGGCTGGTCCATGTCGGGTGGGAGCCAGGAAGGGCTAGTTCTGGGAAAAACCGCTCACTCCCTTAAGCCCCCGGAGGAGATCCCGCCCTCGCCTCGAAGTGAAAAAGAGTTCAAACAGCATCGCAGCCAGAAAAAGGGTCTGTTGGGTGGAAACGGTTTTCTCGCCAGTATTTGGTTTCCTGCTGTGGCTCGCTGCTGCTTGGGTGAGTCGGGTGCCTGGACGGGTGGGTGCCCGGGAGGTGGGTGGTGGCGGGGTCCTCAGCTAAAGCGACGTCTCCAGGCTGTGGATGGGGCTCCCTGGACTTGAAGAGGTAGCTGATTTGCTTGTGTCGGTCGTCAGGTTGATCCCGCTGTCGATGGCGCTGTTGTTCTTGTTGAGCGAGGACGGCGGGCTCGAGTTCTGCTTGAGCGCGGCATCTTCTTCCAGGTCGGTGTCGTCGATGAGGGGAATGTGGGGCTGTGAATCTTCGACCCGGAATTCAGGATGAGCCATGAAATTATGGATGGAGGTTCGAGACTCAGGCTTTTCTAGACCTTCATAGAGAGAGCTACGGAACGCCTTCACGACGCGGATCTGCAAGGGAAGCACGGGGGTGAGGAGCGCTGCCCCCAGGGGGGCCGGCGGCCAAGCTCTGGGGGGCTCGGAGGAGGGGCGGGTGGGGGAGAGGGGGTTCGGGCACAGCAGGTGGCTGGAATCCACAGTCGCTGGGTGTCATGAGCACGGAGAGGAGAGGGAAGAACGGAAGCGGGGATTTAGGTTGTGTTCATCCGTGAGGTTTTTAAGATTGCTTGGGTTTGGGTAAAGACTACAGTATTAGGACAGGAGGAAGGAAGGCCCATCATAACGATGATGGGAAACTGTGGTTAGAGGAAGCTTAGTCCACTCCAGCGGGCACCCAGACCTAGTGAGAGACTGAGCCTTGTTAACTTTAAAGCAGAGGTTCGACCATGCAGAAGGGGTGCGAGACCAGGTGGGAATAAAGGAGGAAGGAGGAGAGGCTATTTATTTGTAAAAAATTAATCTTAGAAAAACCACACGCGGTTAAGAAACCACACGACATGGAACAGATAACGTGTCACAAACAGAAAAGGAACAGAAAGGAGAGACAGTTGGATGAGCCGGGATGAGAAGGGACACACGAGGGCCAAACAGAGAAGGGCAACATCAAACCGAAGCAGCACAGCAAACCGAAGCCAACTCGGGGCTTTCTGGGGTGCAGAGCAGAGGCAGCCAGAAAGCACGACGGAGGCAGCGGCTGATGACGTTCAGGGGCACGAGCATGCTACGGGGCGGGGTGGGGGGCGGGAGCCACACGGCACACACAGACGACACACGGCTACACTTGGAAGCCTGGACAATGTGAATGGAGGTCGTTTGTACCCAACGTTTCTTCCCTTCATGCATTTGGGAGGTAAACACTCGAGTATAGACTCAAAGCCCTGGCCACTCATTGGAGTTGGCTTTGGGGTCCCTTATTTCCTGGGGATTTTTCCTCCTTTCTTTATTTGTGCTTTGAAAACACAATACCAAAAAACGAGGCCAAAATCAGAGGGCCAAATCCAGGCCCTGGGTAGGATTCTAAGAGGCTGTGGAACTGAGCCACAAAACGGCAAGTTCTTTCATTTTCTGTGTCTCAGTTGGAAGCTGGGTTCCCTGAAGAATAGAAGGAGGCTGGACGCTGAGTCGTCCAGGCCAGTGGGCAGAGCACTGGATCCAGAGTCGGGAAGACCCGAGTCTGCGTCCGGGCTCTGCCACTTCGGGTGCCTTAACTGCGGGCGAGCCACACCACCGGCCTGGCCGTCCCCTGTCCCGCCTCACAGGGTGCACAGGAACCGGACCCTCACTTTGAAGAGAGGCATCCCTTCTCTGGACTCCTGGGAGGGGGAGCCAAGCCTGCCATGTCAAGGGGCTGATGGGACTCGGGACAAAGGCGCCTCCTCCTCTCTTCCCAGCCCCAACTCAGAGCGGAGCCAGTGGTGGGGAAAGCAAGGCGGTATCCATGCTTCCAAGGAGCAGAGCCTCAGCTGAGGCGGCCGGGGTGCTGAGGCCATCCGTCTTGGCCTTCCCTCCCCCCACATCACAGGCCTGTAGGGGGACAGAGGACCGGACAGGGCAGTTGTGGGGAGGCCCTCGTGGTCCCAGGATTTGCGGAGCTAAACCCAGAGGTAGCTCGTTGGTGGGGCTCAGGGGGGAAAGCCCTGTCCGTGGGAGTGAATTTTCACAGTGACTGTGGCTGACGGTTTTAAGTGTCACAGCTCAGGGTTTGCTTGACTGTTTCAGAGAGCAGTCTTTCTAAAGCACATCCTAAGCTCCTCTGCCTTTTAGTTTAGAGAACACAGAGAAGAATTTAAGTTTGTCAATAAGCCTTCTTGGTCTTGTGTAAGACCCCACAGTTTTGATTTTTTTTTTTTTAAAGTTTTTCTCCTTTGCTGTCAGCCATCACTTACTAGTTCTGGCTTTCCCTTGTCTTCTCAAAAGCATCTCTGTCCCCTCTCCTTCTTATGTGCTATGAGCGGGGGACTCCAGGGAAACCTGCCTGGTGGAATCCTGCTTTCAGTAAGAGGCATCGGGTGCCAAGAGAGAGCCAGCCAGACGCCATGCATTAGTGCTGGTCGTCCGTGATGGCCATCTGGCTGCTCTGAGGTCTCTTTCTTCCTGGATTCCCTATTTGTGGCTCTGTAGAGATTATTCAGTATTCTGATATCCTGATAACTGGGCCACTACTCCCTTGACTAAGTGAAAACAACAACAAAAAAGATGTTGCAGGCCTCAGTTTTCTTAACTGTAAAATGGGAATAATAATGATCATTGTAGCTGCTCAGCCCAGAGCCTGGCTGAACTGCAATAAGATGCCAGCCGGGAGCGCCTGGTGGAGGAGGAGGGATGGTGGCAGGACCCTGTCGTGTGACTGACAACGCGGAGGGGATGACACACAATGAGATGTAGGCCCCTCACCCTCCCCCTGGAATGGAGACAACAGAAAGAATGAACTGCTCTGGACAAGACTGTGGGGACAAGACTTTTCGGGACACCCCGCCACGGCCGTCTCAAGTCTCCACTTCGGATCTCTCGCGGCTGAAATGGAAAAAAGTATGGGAAGAAAAAAAAGCTCTCCCATCTCCCCTCCCTGCCTGCCCTGGTGATGGGCCTTGCTGGCATGAGCTGCACTGGGGCGTGGGGTGAGGGGGAAGAGAGGAAGGGCCTCGGTCTGTGGGCTTTCAGACGTTTTGGTTCCATCAGCACAAAGCGGGTGGGGAGCCCCATGCCCGTTGTCGATGGCTCTGAGCAAATGCATGGGCCCCGGTCTGGGGCGGGTTCGACATACTCGAATGTTTACCCGGCTTCAAGGAAGCCAAGAGTCTGGGATTGATTCACATTCATTTCAGGCTCAAGGTTAAAGACTCACAACCTCTTTTAATTTCACTCTCTCTTGCTGAACTCTGTGTCCAGGGTTCTCTAGCCCTCTAGGGAAACAAACACATGGAATATTCAGACAGCGGAGAGGTCTGGGCTCCCCCCCAGAAGCAAGCCATTTTCTCGCCAACCCAAGGTTGCACTAAGTTAGTTACCAGAATGCTAATGAGAGGTCCAGCTTCCTTTCCTTCCCTTCTTCACTTCTCCCCCTAAGAGATGCAAACTCCTTGCCCTAGCAGTCCTCAGAACCGGGAATCTGAAGGGGGAGTGGGATGGGGGATGCCCTATCTAGCAGGGTACGGTGTCCAGAAAGTGGCTGGTCTGGGGTTAGGAGTCTGATGCTCTGGGCCTGGTTGGTTTGAAGGAACAGGACCTTCACTCATGAACGTGGAGCATGCTATGAACTTGCTAAATACAAAGGTAGCTTGAGATGGGTTAGGAATTTGTGGCAATAAGAGAGAGGAGCTCTGTAGCTTGGCCTTGGATCTAAGAGCTAAATGCTAATTCTGTTCCTGATCACCGATGGCAAAATGCCTCTCTTCTCAGTCCCTGCCAGGCTGGTGGAAACTCAAGCAGAGATAGAGCTTCCCTGGCCTTCTAGACCCCAGAGGATTGGCTCCTCCTTTTCACCGGATGAGGCTGTGGGCGTGGGTACTGGTTCCACAGTGGAAATTCAACCTCTGTGGGCTCTAGGTCTGTGGGCTTATCTGGGAAGTGGTGTGGGTGGTGAGAAAAATGAGGGACTTTGGAGTCAGAGCTCTTGTCACTTACATACTGTGTGATCTTGGCCAAGTCAGTTCACTTCTCTGAGCCTGAGTGAAGGATGTGCTGAACTGCTTTGGAAAATTTTGGGTGAGGCTAGAGTATAAGGCATTAGGGGTGTGCCATTAAGTTTCTGGGAGAAAAAAAGAAACTCACTTTTGAGTAAGTGAGAAGAGGAAAGCAAGGCAGTGGACCAGAGTTTCCTCCCGATCATTCCAATGCCAGTCTGACCAGACAGACTGTCCTGTCACCGCATGGTATGTGTCTGCCTGGGGCCCTCCGCCTCACAGTGGTGCTGAGGGAGGGATGTGTGATGTGCTGGGGGGTTCCTCACCCCAGGTCATGAGTCAGAAGTCAGCCAGGCACACGCCACCCTGCCCCAGGACTTGGTGGTCACTTCTGATAGCCCAAAGGACGGTGGTTTGACTCCTTCCAGGGCACAGAGAGCCCAGGTGTTTTCAACTCAACAGGCACCCTACTCTACTGGAGAATCCTGGGAAGAAGATCCTGCTCGGAGGAGGCAGGGGGTGGGGGGAGCCCTTCTCTTACTTCCTGGCCCCCTGCTTCACACCCTGTGGGAAGAAAGCCTTTTGGCTTCTGTAGGGACCCTGCCTGGTATCTAGAGGGCTCTCAGAGTCCTTGGAGACCAGAGAAGGTGACATTGCTATAGAAACTATTCAAGCAAAGGAGGAACTAGGGGATATTTCACATCGTGACTGTGTTGACCAAAATGTGTCTGTTGAAACCACAGAGGTTGTGATCAATTTTGGAACCAGTACCCTTGAGCAAGGGGATGGTCAGGCGTTTTTTGAGACCCCATGCCCAAGAAAGGGTCCCAGAAGGGACCCAGAATTACAGGCTGGATTCTACAATTGCAGGTAGGAATGCAAGATTCCTAAGGCGGCGTGATGCCTGAGGGAGAGGCAAGACGGCACTTGGGTGAGGGAGTCATGCTTGATCAGCCCCTTTGGGTCCTCTGAGAAAATGACGGGTCATGGGCAAGGCCTATAGCATCCTTCTCAAAGGCTGTTCCATAGTTGGGTCACCATGGGATAAAGGGATTAATCTGGGCTAGAAGGAGATTGGCTTAGAGATAGGAAGCAAAGGGCAGGCAGAAATGGGCATTTCTCTGAAGGAAAAGTGTTGAGAACCAATTGTCACAGGACTGGCCTTATTGAATGGTTTTCTAAAGGGCAGAAGAAAAGGTTCAAGATGACTGCGCTCTTTCTTCGAGACTGGACGAGCTAAGATGCGGGGCCTAACCCAGGGAGAGGCTGCAGGTACCCAGGAGTGTCGTGAGCCCCGTGTTGGCCAGGGTGAGGCACCACGCTTCCAGAAAGAGGCCGAACCGGGGAGGACGAAGACCTGGGCCTGGACCCGGAGGCCACCTTCTGGCAGTCAGACCGGCCGGAGGCATGCAGGAGGCAATGGGAGGGCAGTGGGAACCCCGAGAGGAAGAGATCCTTTCCCCAGGTGGCTCTCCAGCCCTGAGCACTTTTGGTCTCTGCACCTCACGACAGGAGGCAGCGCTGACCAAGGCTGGAGCTCGGCTGGCGCAGGAGTAGGGCAGCTGGGCGCGGGCCTCCCACCGAGGCGAGGGCGCTCTGTATGGAGCGGGAAAGGGTGGGAGCGAAGTGTCTCCTGCTCTGAGAAAGCCTGGCAGTGACTTGCCGGCGACAGTGCCTCATGGGAACGCGACTCAGACACCGTCTGCTCAAACGTGGCCTCACTTCACCTGGGCTCGTCTGGCCTCCCCATCGCTGTGTTTTCGTGCTGATGAACGAGCACAGGGGCTTTCCCCCGTTTCTGCATCCTCCCTGTCATTTTGTGTACTTGGCGGGACTGCACCCACGGAAAGGCCGTGGGACGTGAGCACATGCCACCGACAGCACCGTGCGGCTCGCGCCTCTTGTCCAAGGGCTCAGATGGCATCATTCTCACCCAGCACATGGTCCTCTCCTGCCCGGTGGCAGAGGTGTGTGTTTTGGATGTTCTGTGCTTGGGAGGGTGGGGGGTAGTGGCACCTTATAAAGTATCAAGAGACGAGGCCTGGAGTCTCATCAGAGAAGCCCAAGGGCTGGCTGAGTGAACAGCAACGTGAGAGGACCAGACTGCAGCTCCCTTGTGGTTTAGGAGGGGCTGACTAGAGACAGGGAAGGGAGGCAGGTGGCAAATAGAAACTCCTCGTGCCCTCTGGGGCCTGGAGCCATGGGGGGTTCATAAAGATCTAGACAAGGCCAGAATTGAGAAACTTGTGTCAGACGCCCTGGTGTGAGGAGATGAGCTCGAGGGAGGGAGGTGATGGAGGGGGTCGGAGTCCCAGGTGTCCCTCCAATGAGGAAGGAGGAAGCCACAGGTTAGACTGGGTCCCTCGGGCCTGCTGTCAGCCAGCCAAGATGAGACCCCCCACTGTGCTCTACCTGAGGTCAAGTGGCATGGGTCAGGAGCCTTGTCCCTTCCAGGAAGGGCTCAGGCCTTCGCTGTGCTCCAAGCCCCGCTGCAGGGAGAAGTGTGTGTAAGGTAGCTGGTGCTCGCAGGTGTACAAGGAGAGAGGGCAGAAGGGGCTGAACTACTGGTAGCGGGCCTCCAGGCTGTGATCTCCTTGGGGACCTGGGTCCCCTGACCAACTGTGACCTCTGATCTATAGTGACCCCTCTGGGTTGGACCTCACTGTGGCTGACTGTGACCCCTGAGAGCCTTTCCTCCCTTGACCCACAGTAACCCTTGGCCTGACTTCGACTGCAGGACTGCGATCTCCTGGCTAGCTCTGACCCTGGCCCTCACAAGCCAGGCTTTTCCTGACCGGGTATGACCCTACACTGACTGGTGTGCTCCACGCCCCCCAGCTGACTGCTCCCCTCTGGCCACCGTGACCCTGTGGGGGACTGTGACATTCGATCACTGAAACCTCCCTGACCAACCGTGATCCTTTGACTGACCCAGACTTTTTGACTACTTGTGACCCTCAGGACCCCATGACTGCCTGGTCATAACCCCTGACCCTGACCCCAGCCGACCCTGACCCCCTAAGGGACTGCCACCCCGTGCCTGGCTGTGGTCTGCTGACCGCCTGGGACCCTCCTCAATGGCCGGGGCCCCTCAGCCCCCTGGGCCTAATCACGACCTCCTGCCCCCCGAGTCCCTGGCGCCCCGGCCCCTGCCCTCCTGGCCGCCCGGCGCTGGCGGCGGTGGCACCCGAGGCGGTAAGGATTCACACTCACGCCCGGCTGCAGCAGGAGGAAGGCTGGTCGGAGAGGAAAGAGCATTGGACAACGACACGCGACTAGGGCTAGAGAGATTGGCTACGTCCTGGCTCTGGCTGGTGACGGAGGATTGTCTCCGCAGGGCTCCCTGAAAGGAGGCCCCGCTCTTGAAAGTATTGACTACTTCAATCTGCAACGGAGGAGAGAACGAGACAAGTTGCGAAAAGAATGGACACGACAGCTACACGACTGACAGGCGCCAGGCCACGAGGACAGCCGCAGCCACGGCAAGACAGCACGCCACTTAAACCAAAACGACAATACCAGGCACGCGCCAAGGCTCTGAGAGACGTCTGCTCAGCTCGGGCACCTGGGGTCCCCAGGGCCCGGTTGAGGGGGGAGCCACAGGGGCCTGGCCTTGGTCCTGCTCTAGTGACTCAGGGGCCAATGGGCTGGGCGGGGGCCCGCGGGTGGGGCGTTAAACATGGTGTTTGGAGGCAGAGGGGGTGCTCAGCCCTCGGGACCAGGCGTGGAGCCAGAGTGGTGTGCTGGGAGCTCTGGGGTGGACAGACCCTGGCCCAGACCCCAGCTCTATCACTTACGAGCTAGACGGCCTTGGGCAAGTCACTGCCCAGCGGCAGCTTCTTGTCCTTCAGAAGGGGCAATGCCACCTACCTGGCAGGGTTAGCTGCGAGGGGCAAAGCACTGGCCCACTTAGTGGTCCGTGAGAGTCAGGCTAGATAGGACTCGTGCTCACTCAAGAAACTACAGTCCCGGCGTCCTCCTCAAAGGCTTTGTGGCCAGGCTGGTGACAGCACCAGGGCTGTGTGTGTGCTGAGAGCTGCCGGGCCCGCCTGGGAAGTGCGGGATGGGGGCTACCCGGAGGTCTAGTCCCGGAGCACAGACTGCTGTCTGTCAGGAGGCTCTGGGTGTGCAACCTGCTCCCCCGACCCAGTGCCCAGAAAGGGCTGTCTCCTGAACCTCGGTTACCCCTAAAACTAGGTGCGGGGCATACCGACCTCTCAGGGGGCTGGGAAGGCCAATGAGATGATGTTTGGGACAGTCCCTGTAGGGTGTGAGGCAGCCCAGGTGACCTGTTTTTGTGCTAGGTGGAAATGCAGCGGTAGGCCACGTAGGACTGCAGGACCGCAGACCCGAGCTGGGGGGCCCTGACGCACTTCCCAGAGCGTGACGGGGGCAGGGTGACCATGAACGTCCCAGCACGGCTGTTCCAGGCCGGCTGGGCAGGAGACTGAGCCTCTCTCGATTTCCTGGTCCCTCTGTTCCTCATCCTACAGGGCTGTGAAAGCACCCCGAGAACTGCAGCCCTGACTCAGGGAGAGGGGCCGTGTGGGAACACGGGGGCTGCATGTTCGTGGCGTGTGTCAGGTGGTGGCCACGCAGTCCCGTTCTGAGGCAGAGACCTGCTTCTGGCTGGACACACATCCCGCACGTGTGCTCTACCTGTGTGTCCTTGGGGTGCGTGTGCGTGCATGTGGTGTGTGTGTGGAAAACCAACCTTTGGTCCCCAGAACTGACTCAATGCCCCAGTGGGGGCTAGGAGAGTGTCTGAAGCCCCCCGTGGAGGAAGATGTACGTGCAGATGCAGGCCTGACCACGTGGCCGGGAGAATCTGGGGCCCACCCCAGCCTGAAGCTGCCATCCTGGCCTCACGTGGATCAGTCTCCAGCTTCACCTGACCCTCCTGGCGGCCCCCCAGCAACCCTGACAGGAGCCCCTCACTCACCTCGGCCCTCAGGGTCACCCCTCCTCCACCTTAGGGGCACCCCCTGCCCCCCGCCCCAGAGCCCACAGTGGATGTGACCCCAGTCCGACCCCAGCCAGGTGGACAGGGAGGTAGGACCTTCCCGAGGAGGCCGCTCTTCAGCGGCAACGCAGAGTGTGTGTGTGGGGAACATGGGTGCACAGGAGGCTGGTGAGATGGTGAGAGCGGGTCTGGACCCACCCTCATCCCCGCATCCCCATCGCCACCCACCCCGCCGGGCACGGGCCCGGCCCCAGGAGCCGCCTGTACCTGGGTCTGGATCCGGTTCAGGCCTCGGAACCACAAGATCTGGCCCCGCCGCAGCTCTCGCTCGGCGTGGTCTATCTCCTCCACGTCCTCGTTCAGCTCCTCCTCCGGGATCTCCTCCTTCTGCGTGAGCCTGCCCGCCTCCTTGAGGAACTTGAGCCGGCTGGTCGGGATGGTGGCGATGACCTGCGAGGGGCCAGCAGAGGGCTGTCAGCGGAGGGCTCGGCCTCCCTTCCTCCCTCTTGCTCTTCTTACCCACTGACCTAGTTACGTTCGACTCACTCCTTAACTCGTCGCACCTCCTCCTCAAGTCAACTTTAGATTTCTTTTTAATTTGCTTCTTAATTCACTCACTCATCCAGAGGCAGGTGGAAATCGTGGGAAATCTGGGGAGTTGGACACGTGGGACTTTGGATACCCCAGACCTTACAAGTCCTGTGACTTTGGGCAAGTCATTTAACCTCTGTGAGCTCCGGCCTTCCCATCTGGAAAGCTGGGACCGGTTCTCAGAGTTGGAGATGCTGTGTCTAAGTCACTGGCCCTCAGGTCTCTGGCTTATTCTTCCTGAGGTCACCGGGTCCTGGGGTGCCCAACCCTGGGCAACAGGAGCTCAGAGCTTGCGTGCCTTGGGGGCAGTCAATCCTGGGACTCTTGGAATGGCTGCCCTCCCGGAAAGGGAAGGCAAGATGGGAGGGGGATATGCCTTTGTTGTTACTCTTCCTCCAAAGGGCTTGTCCGTGGGGCTGAGGCCTGAGCGGCAGGCCCTGTGGGGCAGCTGAGGTGGCAGAGGTCAGAGGCCCCTGACATCTCCTCTAGGGACTGACAGGGGCTGCCCTGCACACTCTCAGGGGTTCCCCGGGGGTTTAAGGTGGGCCTTGCCCGCTGGCATCTTCCTTAGGTGTCAGGAACCTGCTCATCCAGACGCCGAGGGCTCCCTGAGGGATTGTCCAGTGGGACGAAGATGCCCAGGCCCTGAGGGTGCCCAGGGAATGGCGTTGTTAAGTCAAACCTAGTTTATCAACTCTCCAAAGAAGCTCCAAAGTTTAAAGAAGATTGTTCTGAAGGAAACTAAATTTTATTCTTTACCTTCTAGTTAATTTCTCTCACTGGAATTTCCCACTCTAGCCTGGGAGCAGCTTGAAGGCAAGACCAACGTCTTAGGCCTGTTGGGGCACCCACTGCCTGGATCCAGCTCCGGGTACCATGTCCTGGTCAGGCGTCTTTGAGCTGCAAGCTGTGAGTTCCATGATGGTGCGTGTGCGTGTGTGTGTGCATGTGCCTGGTGGGAGAACGTTCTGGGGTCATGGCTAGAAGGGCCCCTAGAGAGGATCTAGCCCAGGGTTCCCCGAAGCTGGGGAGGGCCACAGATGGCTGCAGACACAGCACTGTGATGCGGCAGGGTTTGCCCCTCTTACGCTCCCTCCGAGCTCTCTGAAGGAGCCTCTGCTTGGTGTCACAGCACCTACTAATGCTCTTTACCACAAGCTGGCTTCGAGCTCTGAGCCTGGGCTGGCCATGGCCTCTAGTCAGAGTTTAAAAACATCGTGCTTGTTACATTTTTTTGGTTAGCTTCTGTTTATGACAGGTGATACTGACTTTCCAATCATATCTGTAATATAAATTACCTTTTGAAATAAATTTCAGTTCGAAAAACAGATGTGACTAAAAGAAAGTACCAAGTAAATAACAGGATGAGCGGGGTGTAGAGACAGAAGCAAAAATCACGGTGGCGATACCCAAGTGACCAGCATTTGAGCCCTGGGCCAACCCCACGGCTCTGGTCTCCAGAGACGGGGAGGCCCTTGCCCGGAGCCAGACAGCTGATCCGTGGAGGAGCCATGACCCACTCCTGGGGCTCCTGGATTCCCCGTCCAGTGTTCTTTCCCTTCCCCTGCCGAGAGGTCCCTCCTGCAGCTCCCCCAGCACTCACCTGGCCCCAGACAAGCTCTCCTAACCCGATGAATATGCACCACAACCACTGGTCCAGCTGCAGCGGAGAGCAGCTGAACGGCTTCCCGCCAAACTGCACAATCACTATCTGGAGGCCACAGGGAGCAGAGAGAGAGAGAGACAGAGGGACAGGCCGTCAGGGGCCAGCTCGAGGTCCGGGCTCTCAGGGCACTGCCGAGGGGCTCCGGCGGCCCGCTGCCCTCTGCCCACCCCGGCCAGGTCAGGGTGGGGGCCCGGTACCTGGATGGCGAAGGTGCCCAGCACGATGGTGCAGAAGATGGGGTTCCGGAAGATGCCGTCGAAGACGTTGCGCTCGCCGTGGATCTTGCGGGCGTTGATCTCGTTGAAGAGCTGCATCATGACGAAGGTGTTGAAGATGATGGTGTAGTGCTCGGAGGGCGGCGAGTGCAGGGGCGCATTCCTCCCGCTGTCGATCTGGAACATCTTCTCGCCTGCCAAGCCGAGAGGGCGGGAGCCGGGCTGAGGGACGGAGCCGGGAGGACGCCTGGCCCTGCGTGGGGGCCTCTTCTGAGCAGCCGGGTGGGTCACCCAGATGCGGGAGGTGCTCTCTGGACACTGGGGGGCAGGTGGGCCTGAGCTGTGGGGTGTAAGTGAAGGGGTAACAAAACCCTTTCTCCTCTAGGGGAGAAAGGCCTTGGGTGGACTTTCTTCCACTTTTTCTGCAGAAATCTGATAAAGGTGGGAGGCCAGCTGTGCTACAAGGCGACAGGGCTTATAAAAAGCAACCCCTGGTTGGCAAACTCATCCGGACTGGGAGGATGTAGAGTGACCTTGGAATACCTGGTGGGAGACCATGGCTTTGGGTCCCCCCGAAAGTCTTGCTGCTTGTAACTGAGCACGTCCTTGCTGAGACCTCTGGAAGTGCAAGGGGCTGTTACAGGAGAGACCAGTTCCTGCATGGAGGCTGGAGCTTCCAGGCCAGGCTGGCTCTGGACTCACCCAGGTGGCCTAACTCTCTGTCACAGGAGCTGCCACGTGGCAGTGTGTGGGGGACACAGCCCCGGGCTGCTGCGTGGACACCCACCCATGGCATGCCTGATGCCGTCCTGCGTCCTTTTGCAAAGCTGCATGAGCTGGTGCTGGGAGGGCTTGTGGGGTTTTCTGAGTGTGAGGATCTAGCTGAGTCCAGGACTGCCCAGAGCAGGCGCTCAAGTGGGGAAGCCAGCGAGGAGAGCAGGAGCCCACCACGCCCCCCTCTCTCCCCAGCCTGACAGCTTTCTCCGAGCCTCTACTAATTCTGCATTCCCCGAACATCCTCCAAGGCTTTTCATGATCATCTTTGCAACCGTCCTGCCAACACAACGGAAGGGAACTGCACTCTGAGGAATGGGATCGTGCCCCATCGCCATCTGTACTCTGGACTTGAGGGCAAGGGCTCGTTGGCATTGAAAACCCAGCTCAGAGAGGCTCTGGGGACTCCAAGCTGGCCCCAACTTGCCATGTGGCTGTGGGCCAGCTCCTGCCCGCCTCTGGGCCTGTCCAGGTGCCAGGGGTGGGCTTCACCCGGATCATCTCTGAAGCACCCTGGAAGCCAGGCCAGTCTTAGAACTAGCTAGGGTGCCACATCAGACCGGCTGTGTGACCTCGGGCAAGTCACCTCCCCTCTCTGTGCTCGGTGCCCTCAGTGTCATGGGGGTTGGTGGTAGAGGGTCCTAAATAAACGTGTTGTGGAAACAGCTGGCGGGTAGGCAGGCACGTGGCTCTTTTCTGAGGATGGCGTGGTGAGGATCCTTCCGAGTGTGGGAGCAATGAGAGAAGGGGCTGGCCACTCCCCTGCGGGGCTGGCGTGAGGCACCACCTCGCACTGTGTACACAGTGTCTGGAGCTGTCATCCGTGGAAAAATCCCTGGCTTTGGAGTCAGCCAGACCCGGGGCAGGGCCAGTCTCTACCCGAGATTTGCTGTGTGACCCTGAGCAACTAACTTCACCTCCCTAGGCCTCCATCACCTCACCAGCAGACAGGCAGCAGCTGTGAGTCCAGAGCACGGGGTCTGGGCCATGGTGTCCCCGGTGGGCAGGGTGGGGGACTCACCAACAAAGAGCAGGGTGAAGATGAGGGTTAGCTGGTAGACGGCGTGGCCCAGGATGTTCTTCATCATGGTCCGCGAGATGAGGGGCTTGTTGCGGCCGTATGGCTTCCTCAGAAGCAGGGTCTCCGTGGGTGGCTCGGTGGCCAGCGCCAGCGAGGCGAACGTGTCCATGATGAGGTTCACCCAGAGCATCTGCACGGCCTTCAGAGGGGAGTCCTGGGGATAGCGAGTGGAGAGGGGGCTGTCACGGGGCGGCCGGCCCGCCTGCTGGCCCGAAGTGCCCGGGGTGGGGCTCCTCCCTGAGGTGTCAGCAGCTTCCCACCGGAGCCTTGAGGCCGGCTCTCCCCGTGGGTCTTCCTCGGCTGGCCCACCCCCTGGGTTCCAGAGCAGACGTGGAGCAGGTTTGCTAGGCCTTCCCTGGGGAACAGCCCAGACCCGCCCACTTCAGACCTGTCTTCTCCCACAAGGAGAAAATTGAGCCCCAGGCCCGATGGCCACCAGTTCCACAGCCCAGCCCCTGTAAATACAGCCACATCCCCGCCATCTTCCCTCCTCCGCCTCTCCAGCCCCCGTCTGGACGAGCCTCTCTTCCAGGCTAAGGTCACGACCCTCCCACAACCACCTCCCGCCCAGACCCCACCTCCTCTGCTTCCCACTGCCTCTTTCCCCTCGACCACCAATGGCTCGGGCCTCTCCTATCCCACAAACAATGCCTGGGACCCTGTCCCTTTTTTACTACCACCCAATTTCTCTTTACCTCTTATGTTTACTTTAAGCAATTATTATATGCGTCTGTGACGCCAAAAATAATGTATTTTCCTGGTAGAAAATTTGGGCAAGTAAGGAACAGAAGAAGCTAAAACTCATTAACATTCACCATTTACGGGTTCCCACCGTGCACATTCTGGTGTGGATCCCCACACTTCTCTCTGGCTGAGACAGGGATCGCAGATTCATACTGTCTGCGCACAGTCGTACCATGTGGTCTACACTGCCCGAGCACCTCCTCCAGGAAGCCCGCAGATCCTATACACCCAGCAGCCTGGACTGAGCTGGCTCCTGAGGCCCCTCCGCCTACGCCTTACACACTCACTCACCTCCTAGATATTTATCACCGCCCCTCGTCCAGGCCACCTCTCCCACCTCTGCCCGGGCTCAGTCACACTCCCCACTCCCCTCAGCCTCCTCCTGCCCATCAGCCTCCTCTATGCACCGTGGGGTCAGGGCCCCCATCTCCCCACCAAGGCCTTCACAACCCTGCCACCAACTCAATCCAAGACCTCAGGCAAACTGACGGCCCCCTTGGCACCTCAGTTTCCTCATCTGGCACTAGCGGGTCTCCAAGAAGCCTGGTGTGAGCAGCTGTACCATGGGAGTGTTCCTCAAGCCACCACTAGAGGGAGCCTCTTGTCCACAGAGCAGGAGACTACCCTTGGCGCCTCAGTTTCCTCATCTGGCACTAGCTGGTCTCCAAGAAGCCTGGTGTGAGCAGCTGTACCATTGGAGTGTCCCTCAAGCCACCACTAGAGGGAGCCTCTTGTCCACAGAGCAGGAGACAAGGCCCTTAGGAGCAGAAGGGACCCCCACCTCCACCCCGCCCCAGGCACCGCCCAGGGCTCTCACTCAGGGCTGGGATGTTGGGTGCTGCCACGTGCACCCTCAAGGGCTCAGAGCACCACAGAGGGGACAGCATTCCCAGGGCCACACAGCTCTTCAGGGCAGTGCTGGCCTCTGGGCCTCTGTTGTGCTCTTATGGGCAGGACCTTGCCTGCCCACCTGGTTCTGGGAGGGGCCAGGCCTCGGAACACCTGCCCTCTCCTGGTCAGGCCCCGTTGGGGTGAGGCAGGAGGCTGCGCGAGCAATGGCAGGTGCCTGGCAGGCCCATCCTCTGAGGCTCGGCTTCTGCCTCTGTGAAATGGGGATCACCACAGTTCCCGCCTCGTGAGGCGGCTGAGGAAGCAGTGAGGCTGCAGGTGCTGGGGCCTGCCTGTCGGCTCCACGAGGCCCAGGAACCCCGGCACAGAGGCCTTTCCCAACGCACTCCACGCCGGAGCTGAGGCTCCCAGGGACCTGCCAGCTCCGCGACCCCAGCTGGCTGCCTGTCCTGCCCCGGCCTCTCTCTGGCCCTTTATGCGGCCAGGGTCCTGCCTTCCCTTGAGGATTACCTCTCCTGCCTCTTGGAGCAACAGCCAGGCCTGTGCCTGGGTCAGGCAGATGTGGAGGTGGGCCTGGCATCTCCACTTGCTGGGTGACCTTGGGCAAATCCCGCCACCTCTCTGAGCCTCATTTCCTGCACCCTGAGGGGCTGGCGCCTACGTGGGTGGGTCTGTGATGCAGCTCCTGGCCCTCAGCGTGCAGGTGTGACGATCTGGGACACCCCGTGTGGGTGTCTGCCCTCCCCAGGCTTCGGCCTGCGCCATCCTGCCTGCCCCTGGAGGACCCACCTGCGTGATGCAGGCGCCCGTGAAGGCCACGATCACGGCCACCACGTTGACCGTCAGCTGGAACTGCAGGAATTTGGAGATGCTGTCGTAGACATTGCGGCCCCACATCACCGCCTTGACGATGCTGCTGAAGTTGTCGTCCGTTAGGATGATGTCCGAGGCCTCCTTGGCCACATCCGTGCCTGCGATGCCCTGTGGGGATGGGGACAGGAGCCTGGGTGGGGCGACCGGAGAGGCGAGCAGCGCTAGCGACACTGTCCTCACCCCTACACCAGCCCCCGCACACACCCACCCACCCCCACACCGCCAGGCCACACGAGGCATGCACGTGCGTGCACACGCGTGCACACCACAGCCCTGCTCCTCACAGACCCAGCCCTGAGGCCAACGGTCTGCCTTCAGGAAGGGGGGCCCTCCACTCCCTCCCCCTCCCTCCCCTGCCTCCCTCCCCCAGACCCATCGCTACAGGAAGCCCCCTCTACCCTTCCAGGGAGACCCGGAGGCCAGGCCGAGCCTCAAGAGTGCTGGGAGCATCAGGTGGACGGAGGGTGGGTGGAGTGTGCACTGGGGGTGCTGCGCTCCCTGCAGGAGGCTGTGTGGTCCACGCTCCCCTAACCCCCTGCCTGCGGGCTCCTGCCGGATGCTGCCCCGGGCCCCCGCGAACTCCTACCATGGCGAAGCCCACATCGGCCTTCTTGAGCGCGGGCCCATCATTGGTGCCATCCCCCGTCACGGCCACCACCTGCCGCTGCTCCGTGTGTGTGCTGTCGATGATGCCTGTGGGTGGGGTGAGCATGTACTGAGGGCCCTGGGACTCCCAGCGGGGCGGGGACAGCCTCCTCTCTGGCCCCTGCCCTGCCACCCCCTCCCATCGAGCTTCTTCCCAGCACCTGCAGGGGACGTGGCGCCCCTGAGTCCGGAGCCGGCTGCGGCCCTCTGTGGTCCGGGCCTGTCACCTCTCCAGCATCCTCTTTGCTTTCTGCAGCCCGTGGCCACAGTGGCAGCCATCCTGGCCGGACGCGCCTCCCCTCTGCCTATACCCCAAGGGCCCTTCTGCCCTCCTGGGGCACCAGGGTTTGGCCGGGGGGCCTACTATCTGCTCCCTCAGCACCTTCTGCCTGGGGGTGGGGCGGGCGGTGTCAGTCACACCCGAGGAGGCCTGGGCTCTGCCGTTTGCCAATGCCTGCTCTCCAGACGTTCATCCTCAGTAAAGTCTTCAGCAAATAACAGAGCGAACAGATGACACACGGCCCCTGTCACTGCTCTGGGGCCAGTAGAAAAGGATGCGTGACAGAAGTCGTCACTGGGTGTGTGTGGAGTTTGCGGGGCCCCAAGCAGAGACATCCATGGCAGGACAGAAACTCGGGTGTCAACCTTGATACATCCCTGTCCCATTCCGCACATCAGATGCATCACTGCGTCTGCGGGTCCTACAGCCCCGAAGCCCCACTGGGATCCTTATCCTCCTCTCCGCCACCCCACATGCAGTGCCTCCACTCCCCCTCTCCCTAACACCAGGCTCCCCTCCAATCTTTTTTTTTTTTTTTTTTTTGCGGTATGCAGGCCTCTCACTGCTGTGGCCTCTCCCGTTGCGGAGCACAGGCTCCGGACGCGCAGGCTCAGTGGCCATGGCTCACGGGCCCAGCCGCTCTGCGGCACGTGGGATCTTCCCAGACCAGGGCACGAACCCGTGTCCCCTGCACCGGCAGGCTGACTCTCAACCACTGCGCCACCAGGGAAGCCCTCCCCTCCAATCTTCATAGCAGCCCCAGGGCCTTTCTCTCTGACACCTGAGTCTGAACCCAGCCCCCAGCACCAGCTGAGAGTCACACTCTCACTGCCCTCAGCCTCAGGATGACTCCGAGTTCTCGGCTCCACCCGCTTGGTCCTCCGTGGTCACACCCGCCCATTCTCTGATCTCTTCCCTCCCCCAGCCACCCCCAGCCTGTGCTTCTGCCACGGGAACAGCTCTCCGTCCCATGCAGCTGGCCACCTGCCCGTCTTTGCACAGGCTGTTCCCTGGGCCAGCTGTCCCCGTCACCCAGTCACCCCATCTCAGCCCAGATACTGCTTTCCCTGGGAAGCCTTTGTGACACCCTGAGGACCCCCGCCCACCCTAATCAGGTCACTTTTGCTCCCACACGTATGTCCTGCAATTGGCAAACCGCAGCAGCCTCTGGAAGGAGGGAATGAGTTCCCTGACCTGGGGCACTGTAGCCCCAGACCCTGTCTCCCTGCAGCTCCCTGCAAGGGTCAAAGCTCCACCCTCTTCAAGGTCTGGCTTCAGGACGCGTGCACCGGAAGTCCTCCTGGCCGCTCCCCCAAGCTGTTCTGCTGCCCCGGATTATCCAATCTCTGTGCACTTGGCATTTGAGGCCTTCACCCCGCCGGTTCCCTGGGCCCTCCTGGGTGCTGCTCCGAGGCAAGGAGGGGGCCAGTTTTCCCCTGTGGCTCCCCAGGCTGGCCCAGCTCTCCTACGGCTTCCGATAGAGCGGGGAGCTGCAAGAGCCCCTTCCCCCAGACCTCTTTCCTCCACCACCAGTGCTGACACGCCCCGCAGTGCATGGTCCCCAGGGACCTCCCTGTGGCTGACTCCTATGGTTCCTGTCCTATCTCTGGACCTCTCAGCAGCCATTCACACCGTGGACCACGCCTCCCCCCTCAGCAGGCCTCCTTCCTCGGCCTGCTTGTCCCCGGACCCCTCTGGCTGCCTCTTCTTGGTGACAGACCCGCTGACAGGTCTCTCAGCCTCTGCTCACCGCTCAGGTGGGAGGTTCCTGGGTCCAGCAGCTCCTCTGCTTACCCCCACTCGTCATACCCCACCTACGTCTTCATCGGGGGCCAGCTCTCTCTCCTGAGCCCTGACTCCATGGACATCTCTACTTGGATGTCAGAGGGCCTCCAGCTCGGCCTCCTAAAGCCAGTGCATCAGTTTCCCCTCAAATTGGTCCCTTGTGCAACTCCTGACACCTAGCTGCCCCCTTGTAAACTGTGCAGCAGGCTCTCAAGCAGGTATAGACTGAGCAATCCTGGACTCCCCTCTCCCCCATCCCTCCGCCCCATCTGAACAATCGCCGGGCCCAGGCCCCTCCTGCCCACAAAGAGTTCTCAGACCCGTCCCCTTCCAGTGCACCTGCACTGTCACCACCCCTGCCCAGGTGTCACCGCTCACAGCTGGACAGTCCTGGTGGGCCCTCTGCTTCCAGGCCACTCTCCACACAGCGGCAGGGAGGGCGCTTTCCCCTTCAAGGCCCTCCCTTGGCTCCCCACCTGGGCTGACTGTGCAGGTCGTGCTTGGCGTTCAAGGCCCTGTGTGATCTGAGGCCGGCACCCCCTTCTCTGGCCGCCGCCTCCTGTCTCTCTCTCGCTTGAGGCTCCAGCCCAGCCAACTGAACTTCTTTCAAGTCCTTGCAAGTGCCTGGAAATCTCTGCCTCTGGGCTTTCATAGTGTAGTTCCCTGTCCTGCCTGAAACACAGGCCCTTCCCCCTGGCCCCCCATCCCACCTTCCACTGCCTGCAATATGACACCCTCCCCAGCTCGTCAGAGGCCGGCAGAGGGCCCAGATCACCCTTCTCTCCCACCAGTGCAGCCTTTAGCTCTACGTAGGGAAACCACCTATTCAATGTCTGCTGGATAAAACCTGGACCACAAATTCCAAAACGGGAGGACCACGTCGGCCAAGACCTGGGCCTGGCACATACTAGATCCTCAGGAAACATTTATCAAGAGAATGAGTGAATGAATGAGTGCATGATTGAACAGGAACTGGGGATGGGTTGGGGGTGGTCTCCTTCTTGGGTATCTGTGGTTCTGGGGCTTTGTGTTTCTGTTCCAAGGCCAGATCTGCCTTCCTTAATGTCTTTGGGCAGCACCTTTAGGAGAGGAATCCAAGATGCCCTAGGGATGACCTCAGCCAGAAACCTTCCCCCTACGGCCATTTTACAGATGGAAAAATTGAGCCCTGGTGCTGGGCAATTGCCCAAGGCCACAGAGCAGGGCAGGGGCAGAGTCTGGATTTAAACCCAGGCCTATGGGACTCTGAAAGTGCCCAGCATCTGACCAGCTAGATGAGCTCAGCGAGGGGTGTGCTCTCTCCCTGGAGGGACTCAGGGAAGAAGGACGCTGGGTTTTGGCTCATTTCTCAGATTGCTATTCCCAGGACAGCCCATTCCCGGCGTCCTGGTTACACATGGCAGATAGCATCCTTAGAGAACAGGCAGACCAAGGGTCTCAAACTCACAAGCTCTGGGGCCAGACTGAGAACATGAGTAAATGAAACGGGCAGAGCGTCAGACAGCAGCGGTTAAGGCGGCAGCAGATGGGAGGAAGCAGGGTCTGTATAAAGTCATTCAACTCGAACACTGAAAAAGACACACCACCCAGATAACCTGTCTGTGGGCCCCATTCAGCCCTCAGGCCATGACTTTTGGCCCCCGGATAGGCAATCCCATTGCTGCCCATGGGAGGTGGGGCCCAGGGAGCAGATTCGCTGCCTCCTTACTTCACTGTGGCCCTTAGCAGGCCTCCCGGGGCGTCCCCAGGTGCGGGGAGCCCCAGGCAGGAGCCCCTCCCATCCTGGAAAGAAGCTGAAGGCGCCAGGACAGGAAGGCCCGGGGAGGCCTGGCGCCTGGGCCTCAGAGCTGCCCGTGCCCGCCCAAGTCTTACCTTTGACCAGGGTATGCTTGTCCGTGGGGGAGGAGCGAGCCAGCACCCGCAGCTTTGGCCAGATCTTGTCGATTCGTTCCTGCTCAATCTGGAGAGGGATGGGGGAGGGGCGGGAGGAGAAGGGAGGGGACTTGCCTCGATCACTGGGCTCTGAGTGGCACACTGGCTGGCTGCTGGGGCTTCATGCATGCCCGTGCCTCCCAGCTCCCCGTCCAAAGCCCTGCCCTCTGAGGACCCTCTGCACTGGGCCACATACCTCCCCTTTCTCGTTGCGGATTCTCCGGTTGAACTCCTTGCCCTCAAGGCACAGGAAGTCCTCCCCAGGATGGATGATGCCACACTTGATGGCGATGGCCCGGGCTGTGTTGATGTTGTCACCTGTGACCATGCGGACAGTGATGCCTGCTCGCTGGCACTTGCGGATGGCTTCCGGGACCTGGGTGGGAGGGCGTGTGCCATGGAGTGGACGTCGTCTCGTGCAGGCCCTCCCTGCCCTCACGGATTCCAGAGTGAGCCCTGCTCACAGGCAACGCCACGGTAAGGGGCCTAGATGACCAGGAGGTACTGATGGCACACAGACCATCTCCTCCTTTCCTGTGGCCGTGGTAGGCATTGTTAATCGATCACAGCACCCTCTGATGAAACCCTGATGTGGTCTCACAATTCTTTTCTGCAGTGTCCCAGACAGCCACCACCTATCACCCATGATACTGCATCCTAAGATGAAACCATTGGCTATCCTGACCTGGACAAGGACTTTGAGAAAGACCACAATAAACATCCTCTTGGATATGGCCCCAGGCAAGAGTACAGAACACTCCACTGCTGAACAGGATCATGTCCCTGCTTCATCAACATGCACATTTCCTGCAAACTCAATGATAAATATGTTTGTGTGTTTTCAGTTTTTTGCCAGGGGGGCGGGCAGGGGAAGGACATTGCATTTTAGGATAATTTATTTATATAATGTGACATTGGCTTAGAATAAATGTGAATGATTAGGCTTTGTGTAAAACATGACATCTCCCTGCGAAAGTAAGGGCTGCCTACTGCCCTCTTTGTAATAATAGACTGACATCTGGGCCATTTAGCCAGAGCAGACCCAGCCAATCAGAAGCTGTCGCCCCCCCCCAACTTTGCAGGGCGCTGGATCTGCCCAGCAATTGGGATGCAAAAACCAGCCTGGAGTCGGAAAAAAAAAGGTTCTGAAGGACCTAGGGGCAGGACAGGAATAAAGACACAGACGTAGAGAATGGACTTGAGGACACGGGGAGGGGGAAGGGTAAGCTGGGATGAAGTGAGAGGGTGGCATGGACATATATACACTACCAAATGTAAAATAGATAGCTGGTGGGAAGCAGCCGCATAGCACAGGGAGATCATCTCGGTGCTTTGTGACCCCCTAGAGGGGTGGGATAGGGAGGGTGGGAGGGAGGGAGACGCAAGAGGGAGGGAATATGTATACGTATAGCTGATTCACTTTGTTATACAGCAGAAACTAACACACCATTGTAAAGTAATTATACTCCAATAAAGATGTTAACAAAACAAAAAAACCAGCCTGGAGCTGCCATGGCCCTTCACACACAGCACAGATCAACTGAATAAGTGATTCTCACCCAGTGACAAATAACAAAATAATAAGGCAGTATTTGCTGTAAAATGTCCTTCAGTGGGAGAGGACACGTCAAGGGCAGAAAATCCAGTTGTACTAAAAGTACTTTAGAATCTCAGACCTGGTGGGAAGGGGGGCCTGAATCCGACTCTCCTCTTCCACATCCTGGGGTCTGAGAACTCACTTCCACCCCGACCCTGACAAGTCACTGCTGAGAGAGTTTAAAGGTGTCACGGGCTGAATTGTGTCGTTTCCCCGCCCCCTCCCTCCCCCACCCCAGAAAGCTCTTCACACCCAGTACCTCAGAATGTGACCTTCCTTGGAGACAGGCTCTTTATAGAGGTAATCAAGTTAAGATGAGGCCATTAGGGTGGGCCTGCATCCAATGTGACTCGTGTCCTCATAAAGAGGGGAAATCTGGACAGAAACACACACACACAGGGAAGACATCATCATGGGAAGAGGCAGGGAGAGATCTGGGCGATGCTGCTACGTGCTAGCAGGGCTGAAGACTGCCAGCTCGTCACCGGAAGCTGGGGGAGAGGCCCGCGGCCGAGCCTCCCTCACAGCCCTCAGAAGGAACCAACCCTGCCGACACCTCGATCTCAGACCTCCAGCCTCCAGAACCAGGAGACAACGCAATTCTGCTGTTGGTGGTACTCTGTAACGGCAGCCCTAGCAAAGAGTGCGAAGAGTTAGAACGCTGGTCCAAAACCTGACTGTGGACAACTTACGCCCACCGGTCCCTTTCTGCGCTCAGGAATTTTAAGAACAAGAACTGACACTGAAAGTATCTTGCCTCTATGCACATCCCGTCCACACCACAATCTCAAGCAGAGGTCACTGCCCAGCCCCTTCCCAGTCTCCCTGCCTCTGGCCCCGCCTCTTCCATCTTGCCCCTACCCTGACCACCAGCTACCTGCCCCAGGTTTAGCCTGTGTGCCGCTCCCTTTCTGGGCCTCCACCCCGCCGCTGATAGAGAAAATCCCAACTCCTGAGCACGGCCATCCTGCGGTGGAGTGAGAAACAAATGCCGGGCACAGGCAGGGCCTAGGTCAAGGTTGGGGGAGGCCCCTCCAGCTCCCCGAGTTCTCTAACAGGCCGGCTCTGTGGTGGCAGGTAGTGATCTCCCTGTTGTTGAAGGGCTGGAGCAGGGCGAGCTGATCATGGGCCTCCTCTCAGTGTATTTCCAGAGTCTGGGGAGGAGCCTTCTGGGGCCCACTCAGGGCTTGGGGCCACGTGAGCAAGGCTTCTGCCTCGTGCCATGGCGGCTGCTCACATAACCAAACGTGACCTCCTTTTATAGAGCCGGAGGGAGTGGGGATGTGGGAGGTCCAAGATCCCGTTTACATAATTTATCGATGTCCTCACAATGGCTGTAACCTGGCTGCAGCCCCCTGCTGTCTCCTGGCCCAGGGGACAGGAAAGAGCCGCTGTTCTTTTGGGAACACACACCTCATCTGGCTTCTGCCCTGAAAGGAATAATTTAGGTTATGCTTGTTTAAAAGATGCTTGGAGTTGGAAGGGACTCTGGGTCATGACTCTGACCCTCTGCTCATTGCCTAGATCTCCTCCCACGCATCCCTGACAGATGGTCAGAGAGCCTCTACTTACTTGCCTCTGTTGACAAGGTGCTCATCCCCTCTACGGTTGACTGCTCTAAGGTAGAACAAGTCTATTGTATCCTTTCACATAATCTTTCCGTTTTTAAAAAATTAATTTAATTTTGGCTGCGTTGGGCCTTCATTGCTGCGTGCAGGCTTTCTCTAGTTGTGGTGAGCATGGGCTACTCTTCGTTGCAGTGCACGGGCTTCTCATTGTGCTGGCTTCTCTTGTTGCGGGGCATAGGCTCTAGGTGCACGGGCTTCAGTAGTTGTGGCACGCGGGCTCAGGAGTTGTGGCACGTGGGCTCTAGAGTGCAGGCTCAGTAGTTGTGGCTCACGGGTTTAGTTGCTCCGCGGCATGTGGGATCTTCCCGGACCAGGGCTCGAACCCATGTCCCCTGCATTGGCAGGCGGATTCTTAACCACTGCACCACCAGGGAAGTCCCCCTTTCACATAATTGTTCTTTTTTCGGATAAGAGAGCAGTTACTTTGGGTCAGACCCATTCTCTTGTACAGAGACAGGGTCTTTGGTAAAGATGTGTACAAAGAGCTCTGGGAGCACAGCGGAGCACACTGTTACTTTAGAAGGAAGTGTGTGGGGAGAAGAAATCTGTGGGAGCTTCCTGGAGGAGGCGATACTTGATCTGCTTCTTTTCAGCCGACACTAACTGAGGCTCTGATGCCTGGCACTGTGCCCATGCTGGGGCTGCAGAGATGACCAGTTCATTGTGGTCCTGGCTGCAGACAACTGTCCCATGAGGTACACAGAGAAGGGGAGGGCACTGCAGACAGTGCTGTGGGTGATCTGGGTGGCTGAGGCCAAGGGAAGATGTGGGGTAGGGGCCGGTGGCCTTGGAGCTGGAGAGGGGCTTCAGGTCCAAAGGTGTAGGAGTCAGGACCTTGTTCCTTCAGGCCTGGGAGGCATGGAAAGTTCTGAACTGGGAGTGAGGTGATGGATGCCATGTCTTAGGAAGACTTCTGTTTTCAAGACTGTCTCAGGAAGCTGAAATCTGCCTGCTTGGAATCCCTACCCTCTGGGCTTCCACTGAACAAGCCAGACTGGGGAAAAAGGAGGAGGCTAATTTTTATGGTCCCCACACTTTACTCTGTGCAGTGGAAGTGTCTCTGCCCTGTGGAGAGAGGGCTCAGGGGCCAAAAGGCTGGCCTGGGCTTTGCCCTGGGCTCCCACCTAAGCCTTGGTTTCCTCATCTGTAAAATGGAGTGATAGCCTCCGCCTTTCACTGAGGCTGGAGAATTCTGTGACAGCAGCAAAGGTCACCAAGCTCAGGGCCAGCACATGTTGGTGACGTGTGGGTGGAGGAGGCTGGCAAGACGCTTGACTCCGGGCTCCCTTGTTTGCTCTTTCCGCTTCAGGGTGGGTGCAGGGACACAGAGGAAGGATACAGATGCAGGGTGTGCGATGGGGGTGCAGCAGGCATCTAGAGCACTTGGAGGCGCAGGTGTCTGGGGCGGTGGGATGGGCTGGGCTCCCCACCGTGACCCTTGGATCAGGTATATTAAGGGCCTGTGACCTGCCTTGAAGGTGTGGGGGGGATTCAGGACAGATCTGGAAACCCCGGAGGAGCCTCCCCTGGCCACCACGAATTACTCCACTTCCTTTGTAGGCAAGGGGCCCCTAACTGGACGACCTTGTCGTGCTTCAGTCCCGTCCGGTTTTACACTCTGGAAGGTTTTACACCTTCGTTTCGCTAGGCTGTGGGTCTGGAGGGCAGGGGCTGCCAGCCGCTCAGAACCCTCTCAGGGGCCTCCTGCAGGGTAGGTGCTTGGTCAATGTGGGTCACTGTGAAACACCTTTGTGCTTAAGTCCCTCGAAACCTGACCCGGGTGAATGGATTTGGACGGGCACATGCAAATCCTCTACAGTTTGGCTCCAAGCTCCCTTCCCAGCCTTTTCTCTCATAAACCCAGCTAGGGTTTTCACTAGTTCCCAAACACGTAGCATCCCTCCCCACCTCTGTGCTTTTGCCTGTGCTGTCCCCTCTGCCTGGGATGCCCTCTCTCCCTGGGATGCCCTCTCTCCCTGAATCTCTGTGTGTCACAAATCTTTCCCATCTTGCACGTGAAATGCTGTCTGTTCAGCAAGCTATCCTTGGTCCCTCCAACCCAGTGGGACACCTCCTGCAGCTGCTCAGCCCTTCCTTTTATCGCTTCACTCACTCATTTATGCAACGAACAGCTATGGAACGTCTAACTGTTCCGGGCAGGGAGGGTGCAGAGAGGATGAAGACCCGAGCCCCAGAGGCATTGATCTGGTTGAAATGTGCTTTCCCCATAGATAAAATAGCTGTAAAAAAAGATTCCTTCTTTTGCTAAAATTATCCTAGATATTTCTCACTGAGGAAAACCAGCCAGCAAATGGGTGCTTCCTGTTTTCATTAAATAAAGGCTTTTAAACATCTGTTGTTTGTGGTGACAGCAGTTGTCTGTGACTTCGAGGGTTCCAAACACCCCCGGATAACCCGGCAAATCCCAGGCCGCTGCTCTCCTGATGGCTTCATCCTCGCTGGCTTCCATCAGACTTGGAAAATGCACCACTGTAGCATCTTGGGGGAGGGGGGATTTGCAACCCTGTTTTTATCTGTTCTGTCCTTTGTCTTCTCAGGGAGGAAGGGAATAGGAGCTTCTTTCCCTTGACAGACAGGGAAACTAAGGGAGGGAGGCCGAGTTTCTTTTCCTGCAGCAAATGAATCTGACCAGGCTTGTGGGACCCTAGAGGCGGTCTGGGTGGGGATTTTTTTCTCTGGCCGGCCTCACGGTTGTCCTGGCAACATACACACACATGCTCACCAGAGGCAGGGACCCTCTCCAAAGGTCACCCGAGAAACTGGTGACTGTGGCTGCCTCGGAGGTGGTCACTGGGGTCTGGTCGTGGCATGGGGGGCTACTTCACCCTGTTTGTGCTATCGAACCTTTTGAATTTGGCGATGATATATCACGAAGCCTAAAACAAACAAACAAATCAAAAACCATACCTGCCTGTCTCCTGAGGCTCTGCGTCCACCCCCACCCCACGGGAGATGCTGAGTCAACAGGTCAGAGCTTTAATACTTTCTTTTTTTTTTCTTTTTTTCCCTGTGCCACGCAGCATGCAGGGATCTTAGTTCCCTGACCAGGGATAGAACCCATGCCCCCTGCAGTGGAAGCCCGGAGTCCTAACCACTGGACCGCCAGGGAAGTCCCTGAGCTTTCATACTTTCAGGCAGCATCACCAGTAACTCCACTGTGTCCCTCACTTGTTGACGTCCAACTTTCTTATTGTTCAGATGGAAAAACTGAGGCCCGGGGCAGTGATACACCGGAGGTCTTCTGTGAAGGAGTGGCAGGGGCGGGATGAGAACCCATGTTCCTAGACTGCTGTGTCCCTCCAGTACGTCCCTGCCCTCCAACACAGTTACAGCTTCCAAATCCACATCCCGGGGTGAGCCCAGGGGAGAGAGAAGGTCACCCACAGGGATGTGTTGACGGAGGGAAGCAAAGAAAGGCATGAGAGTAAGCCTCCCAGGCAGCTGGCTCAGAACCTTAGAGCTGGATGGGACCTGAGGGGCCCCCAGGCCGACCACCCATTTTACAGATGAGGGGACTGAGGCACAGAGAGGAGAAGTGGCTTGTTAGTGGCAGAGCTGGGGTTGGAACCAGGCTCCCTTTCTCCGACATAGGCTGAACGTGTTCCCAGCCCTGCTGTTTTAGGCTTGGGGTGGGAGTGAGGAGGCGTGTGTGTGTGTGTGTGTGTGTGTGTGTGCATGTGTGTAGAATACTATTATTGTCCCTAGTCTTCAGATGAGGAAATGGAGGCTCAGAGAGGTTATGTAACTGGCCCAAGGTCACACAGCTCGCAATGCCAAGGGACTCAAAATCCCAGGTCTATCTGATGCCCAAACTCACACTTTTGACCCCTCTCCCTGCTGCCTAAATGTGAAAGTCCACGTCTGTGACCTTCAAGTTTCACTTAGTCTTTGGAATGCAGAGTCTTAAAACAGCGGGGCCAGGAGCTTGGAGGGCATCTTGCCTGCTCCCTTTCACTTGAAAGAAGGGGACATGGAGGCTCCAGGAGGAGCAGGGAACAGCCAGAGGCCCCAGAGGATGGTGTCAGGGTAAGCGGGGGACACTGAAGTTGCCCTTGGTGGAGGAAGGCGGCCCTGAGACAGGCTGGGACCTGGGACCGTTTGCTGCAGTGCTTGCACCTGGACAGACGTCTCCTTGAGCAACGACATACAAAGAAACTATAAGCGACCAAAAATAACCGCGTGCATGCCCAGTTGGGGCAAATTATAGACAACAAGATACAAAAAAGACCAAAAGAACCCAACTGCCACTTCCCAAGAGTCGGGAGCAAAAGCAGGGTAATGGGCACGCCCCCTGCACACAGCACCACCAAAGGGGTGGGCAGACCACCTAAGCCCCCCCTTCGGCCCGACCCCTGGACACACCCCTACCGTCACCCCACAGAAGGAGCCAAGAGCAAAGGAACCTGTTACTTGTTCTCACTCCCCCCTGCTGCAGCAGGAGTCCCAATAAAGCCTTGCCTGAATTTCTTGTATGGCCTCCTATCAATTTCTATTGATTAAGGGGGCCAAGAATTCTGGTCAGAAACAGTCCCAAGGGGCAGCATCACCAAATCCCACTGCCAAGGCCAGTCTGGGCCCAGCAGCATTAGTCCTCGAGGAAGAGGAGGCCAGCCCCTCCTGTGCCTTGCCTCCCGGGCTCCCAGGGTGAGCGAGCTCGCTCTGCCCACAGCAGCATTTCGGAGACTCGAGGCAGCTCTCTCCTCTTCCCACACCCTCTTCCCAGCCTGGGCAGCTCGACCGACCACGCACGTCCCATCCTTCCCCAACGCTGCAAATTCCCGGCGCTGAATTCTTGGCTTTCCCCCCAGATGCAGAGTCAGCTAAAGGAGACTGAAGACCCACTGTCATCTGAGCACCCCAGTAGGTGCACATATTACATCACTTTTCTCGATCTTTATGGGGAGGGGGTGCTGTCACCCGCCCCTTCCCTTCTGCTTGAGAATTTGACCTTTGGTTAACTTTCCAGCTCTGCTCCCCTGGAAACCTGATAGAGGCAGACTGCCCGCTGCATCACTAGGGAAAACTAACCGGTAAACTTGGTCTGGATGGGGAGAACTCTAAATGCTGATGGGGAGGCCCACATTTGGGGTCTTCTTGAGTGTGGTAACCTTTGTTATTGGGTGTCTCCTTTGCAGGGACCCTTGAATCTGGGCCTATGGGTTTGGACAGGAGATCCTGGCTCCTCTGAGGCTTCTAGGGCAGGGCAGCCTTCACGGTAGAGCAACGCCGGCTGGCAGGCTGTGGGTTGCACCCCATGTCTGATGGTAAGCAGGTAAGTGTGGCTACGCTACCCTTAAGAGTCTGAATGTTTAGGAGTAGGTACAGAGAAGACCCCGTGGGCCTTGCAGGGAAACTGAGGCTTAGAGGGGTGAGGCGACGTACTCCAGGTCACCCAGCAGGCTGGACGCCCAGCTTCACCCCCTTCCCCAAGCTCCACGGCGGGGCACCTGCCTCGGGCCGCACGGGGTCCTCGATGCCCACCACGCAGATACAGGTGAGGTCGTTGAGGATGTCATTCTCGTTGTCCCAGTCGGGCTCGGGGCTGCCGGGTAAGTCGCGGTAAGCCACGCAGATGGTGCGGAGCCCGTCGCAGGCCATGGGCTCAATCACCTTCTTCACCATCTCGTCCCGGTCGCGGGGCCGGAAGACCCGGGGCTCACCCGCCCCGTTGAGGATTTTGCAGCACCTGGGGGAGGTGGGAGGGGGCCGGGTAAGGTCCAGCCAAGGGCCCAAAGACCCTCCCTCCGACGGGCTCGGAGCTCACCCCCACCTCCCCAGTGACGGACGTCCCACTGGCCGTGGTTGGTCATCCAGGGCTCATCCAGACCATCTCCCATAATGCTTCAGGGGTGGTCCTGGCCCCTGGGCCCCAGGCAGGGATGAAATCAGGACCAGCCAAAAAGAAATCAGGCGGCCTTGTTGTAATATCTGCCCCAGGCCATTTCAGCAAGAGCAGATCTACTTTGCTCTGTTTCATCTTCACAAGATTTCATCTGAAAAAAATAGTTCCACAGCGAAAATGGTTTTCAGAGGGCATGAAACCTCCGCTAGTGGTTCCTGACCCTGCCTGCGCATCAGGATGGCTTGGGAAAGCACTGAATAAACACCCCCCCCCACCACACTGTGGGCCCCACGCCAGAGGTTCCAATTCAGTTTGTTGGGGGCGAGTCCAGGAATCAGTGTTTTTTTTTTTTAAAAGCTCCCTGGGGCGATTCTATGTGTGACCAGGGTTGAGTCCCCCTCAAGGTACAAATGGGTAAACTGGGGCCCAGAGAGGGGGGCTGACTTGCTTAGTTCTCCAGGCTTACTTCTGGCACCTGGAGTCAGAGGACACCTGCTCACAGTGAAAAGTCACGCCGTCTACCAACTCTACGCTCAGGGAAGTGACGTGAGGGGGCTCTGACAGGGATAATGGGAAGAACTTCCTGATGAGCCAGTGACTTAGGGAGGAGAAGAGGGAGGACTCCCTGCAGAAACCTTTAAGAGGAAACAGTAGCAAAGCCCTGGGGGAGGGCACGTGCAGGCGGTCTTGCTGCGGGGACGTTGGGCACGGCCCTTCCCGTGACCCTGGGCGCCCCCGGCCCCTCCCCGCGGCCTGTGCCTGCGCCCCGCCCCCCGCTCCCGCACCGCTTACTTCTTGAGCACGATCTCCGAAGCGCCCTTGCTGTACATGCGGAAGCTCTCGTCGGGCAGCTTGATTACGGTGCTCATGGACTTGCGCACGGAGTTGAAGGTGTAGACCTTGTACAGCTTCTCCTCCGGCATCTGGCTGCGCACAGACTCGTAGTCCTGCTTCAGGTCCAGCACGAAGCCCAGCAGGCCGCACTCTGTTTTGTTGCCCACCTGCTTGGGCAGGGCGCCCTCCTTCTCCGGGGGCTGCGGGGAGAGGCGGGGTGCTCACCGGGCTGCCGCTTGCCTGTGGGTGGGGCCATCCCTCCCCCCCACCTTAGGCTTCTGCGTCCCAGACCCAATCCGGGCTCTGTTTGAAGGGAATTAAGCAAGATCAGCTGTTTAAAAATTATGAACTATGTCAAACATAAACCTGTGACCGAATGATAAAAATATTTGTGCCCAGACCCTCCAGTTCTGGAGAACCTTAGTTCTAGGCCATGTTTGCTTCAGATTTTTCTTTTTTAAGAAGTAAAGCCTAACAGATAAAGTTGAACCCCCCTATATACCCCTCCGCATCTGCACAACGCACCCCTTGTCCCAGAAAGAAACTCTAACTTAAATTTGGCATTAATCCTTGCCCTGTGTGTTTTAACTTTTTATTTCGAGATAGTGCTAGTTTCACAGGCAATAAAAAATAACACAGAGAGATGTCATACATCCTTCATCCCGTTTCCCCCAGTGCTCACTTCCTGTATGGCTGCAGCACAATGTCACAACCAAGATGCTGACACTGATACAATCTAACCCGCTGGATTCAGATTTCACCAGTTTTAGTGTACTCCTGTGTGTGTGTGTGTGTGTGTGTGTGTGTGTGTTTAGTTCTGAGCAATGGCATCCCATGTAGATTCCTGTGACAACCGTCATCAAGACACACAACAGTTTATCACAGCACTCCCTGTGCCACCCTTATGTGACTGCAGTCACCTCCCTCTCTTCCCCGTCCCTGCCCCTGGCAACCACTAAGCTGTTCTCCAGCCCCATGATTCTGTCATTTTGAGCATGTTATATAAATGGAATCATACAGTATGTAACCTTCGGAGACGGGCTTCTTTTCACTCAGCACAATCCCCTGGCAATGCAGACAAGCTGTCGCGTGTGTCAGGAGCGCGTTCCTTTGCATGACTGGGTAGTATTCTGTGCTCTGGATGCAATGTCCCTTGTGACTTCAGTTGAGGTTGAACCAAATGCAACTGCTATTTTGGTACGTCACAATGGCCAGCCATTGGCAATTTCATGTAGTTTGACCTAACGTACATATGTGCAGCACTGTTTTGCATGTTGAAAACGTCATGTAAGGAGGCTGTACATATTCTTCCGTAGCTTGCTTCACTCATGGAACGTTCAATTTTTGAGAGTCATCCCCATTCACAGCGTTAGTTCGTTTCTTTTTAACTGGACACCACAGCCCCTGCCCTGAGCCTCAGTCAAACCACCGACCACATCTCCCCAGCGCCTCTCACTTCTTCGTGCGGCTGCCCGAACACAAGCTGTTTCATGCCTCTGTGCCTTCACCCCTGCTTCCTCCTTCCCTGCCAGGCAAACTCCTCCTTGCCCTTTAAGGACCAGCACAGATATTTCCTTGTCTTTGAGAATTGCTTTGTGGGTTTGTCACCCCGAGTAGGAGTTGCTGTATTCTTTCCCCCCTGGGTTCTCAGGGCAGCACAGAGCCCGGCACACAGTAGGCATTTGCTCATTGTTTGCTGGATCGCTCAACGCAGGCCAGTCTGGGGTGCGGGAGGCACAGGCGAATAGGTGAGAACGAGACGCCTCCACGTGGGCGCTAATGGTGGGACTGGCAGGCGGCTGAGGGAAGTTCATAAGGCAGGTAAACTCACCTCCCGTGGGCAGCCGCCACACGTGCGTACACACACTCAGACCACTGGTATAAAATTAACGTGCAGTGACTCAGGTGGAGCTGGCTTTGGGAGTGGTAAAAGCCACCATGGATAAACCCAAAGACCAGAGAGATACTGAAGAGGAATAATACCCATGAGCATTCTGTGTCCCCCGACCCCGCCATGAGGGGCCCTTTGTGGGTCTCAGGCCAGCCTTGCACAGGAACCCTTCGTGTTGTTCCAAAGAGCAGCAGGCAAGAAGAAGACGGAGTCTAGAAGAAGCTGCATGGACTGGCTGTGAGGGGGGCAGGATGGCAATAGGATATGTCCCTGGCCAACTGCCCCATCCACAGTTAGGAGCAGACCCGAGCCCTGTCGGGTCATGGGCATTGACCTAGGCGTACATACCCTTAGACCCTAAGCTCTTGTCCTCAGTTTCCCCATCTGTAAAATGGAGAGGCTCTAGCAGATGATTTCTAGCTGAGAGAAAAGTCAACCCACTCCTTCAAGTGGATGGTGGATGGCGGTGAAGGATGGTAGAACAAGGCAGAGCTGCCGGTCCCTCAGAGGGCGTCTGGGGGCCACGGGTCAAGCCTTAGAACACCCTCCCTGCTCCATGCCATGTTCAACTATGTCCAGGCATCATGGGCCTTGGAAGCCTCCCCACACCGAAGCTCTTCGGTGGGATTTGATCTGGAAGCAGAGGAATCTGACTGTTTCCCCTTTCTGATGTTTGGGAAAAGAAATTCAAAGTACGCCCCTTAGTCTCTGCAGTATGCAGTTATGTTGTGTTTTTAAAATTTATATATTTATTTACTTATCATTTTTTTTTACAATTTTATAATTAACCTTCTGGTGATTTCCAGGGTTTTATGTATCTTCCAAAACAGTTTTTTCCCCCTCCACTAATGAAAGAAGATGATGACACGGAGGACTGAAATAAAAATGCCTAATTACTTATTTGCCCAAGAGAGCTAAGCAGTTATGCCTGTGAAACAGGCAGCATTTTATTACCCTCTGTGAGATATTTTAATTTTCCCCTAAAAGGATTTCAAACAATCTATGGTTGCAAATGGCAGAGCTGCCTCCTCCATAATTCAATTTGTTACCATGAACTTGAGCTCTAAAGTCGCCTACGTGCATTATTAAGAAGTAGGGACTCGTCCCTTTTCTCTTTTGGCTTTTTTTAATCTTGACAAACCCAGAGGTTTTACTATTGCTGTAGACTTTCCATGAGGCTTGCTCTCCAGGGCTCTAATTCTGTAAGGGAGGTAAGGCGTTGGTTTTGAGGGGCAGGAAGCAGGCCCGGGGGGGGAAGTGATTTGCTCCTCATCACAGACCTGCAGGGGGGCAGGCCTGGGGCTCCCCCCAATTCCCCTGATTCCTAGCACCACACCGTATCCAGCACATTTCCCTGTATGGGCACTAAGCCCTTTGGGAGTGCTGGGTGCAGCTATGGGTGTAACTTTGAGAGGACAATTCATGCTCCTGTTCTGGGATGCTTGGGGGTCACTAGAGCTAAGACCAAGGAATGATGACTTGAAGAGTGACAAGTTATAAATAACATCTGCAAAAATGAGATGAAAAGAAACATAGCAGGTACTGCCTCACACTCATGAGGATGCCCATTACCCAAAACAAAACAGAAAACAAGTGCTGGCGAGGATGTGGAGAAATTGGAACCCTTGTGCACTGTTGGTGGGAATGTAAGATGGTGCAGCTACTGTGGAAACCAGTGTGGAGGTTCCTCAAAAAACTGCACATAGAATTATCACATGATCCAGCAATTTTTACTTCTGGGTATATACCCAAAAGAATTGAAAGCAAGAGACTTGAGAAGATATTTGTACACCCGTGTTCACAGCAGGATTATTCACAGTAGCAAAAAGGTGGACGCAACCCAAGTGTCCACTGACAGATGAAGAGATAAGCAAAACGTGATCTACACATACAGTGGAATATTATTCAGCCTTAAAAAGGAAGGAAATTCTGACCCATGTTACAACATGGATGAACCTTGAGGACATTATGCTAAGTGAAATAAGCCAGACAAAACAGGACGGATACTGTGTGATTCCACTTACACGAGGTCCCTTGAGTAGTCAAATTTATAGACACAGAAAGTAGAAGGGTGGGCGCCAGGGGCTGGGGGAGGGGGGAGGAGTTAGTGTCTAATGGGGACAGAGCTGCACTTGGGGAAGATGAACCGTTCTGGAGATGGGTGGTGCTGATGGTTGTACATGTGAATGTACTTGATGACACTGAACTGTACACTAAAACGGCTAAGATGATAAATTTTACGTTATGTGTATTTTACTACAATATTAAAACATCCTCAACACCCCGTCCTCCCTGTGCCCCCAAACGCGGCAACCACTGCTCGGTAAATCGCAGCAAATGCCGTAGGATGCTGATTGTGAGAGCGCATGAGAAAATGACTTTCTGCTTGCTGGCTGTCTCTGGTGGCCTAGCCCCCTCCCCTTCCCCCCTTGAGGACAGGCACCGGCAGACGAGCCTCCCCGATGCCCAGATGGACCACCAGGCAGCCTCAGCAGCTGCGGCAGTGACCTCGCTAGCTCTTTACCAAGCTCTGCACGTGCGTCCTCGGTTGCATCCTCATGGCTCCCCAGGGGTCGGGCTGTTATTATTCCCATGTGCACAGGGAGGCCTGGAGAAACCAGGTCACACAGCTAGTACGTGGCCGAGCTAGGATTTGACCCCAGCTGTTCTCAGCTCTGAGCCCACACAGCACACGCCCTGCCTCTCTTCACTAACATTTGAGATGGTTGTTTAACGAGGTAACTGGTGGGTGATTGGTTTAGAGCCCATGGTCGGGGGTGCGGGGGAGGGCTGTCTTGCTTATCTCTACTTCCCACTTGGGGTAATTAATGAATGTGCGTTGAATGAATAAATGAATAATTTGGTGTCTGTGGGTGTGGAGAGCTGCTGATGGGAGGCCAGGGGGGATGGGATTTTGTCAGAATTTTGGCCTCCGGAATTGTCATCTGAGGGTCTGCCTCCCCAGGAGCCTCTCAGGTGCTGGGCCTCGAGGAGCAGCAGGGGGCAGAATCGTGGACTTTCCCCAGAGACTGCAAAGGCTTAGGGCGGGGTGTGTGTCCCGAACAGCTGGGACAGGCTGAAACGCCCTGGGGAGACACACGCTGGAGAGCAGGTTTCCTGGGGACCTTCCCGAGCTTGCCCATGCACTGTGCATGTGTGTGCATGTGGTGTGTGTGTGCTGTGTGTAGTGCAGTGTGTGGTATGTGCATGTGGCGTGCGTGTGTATATTTGTGCATATACCTGTGTGATTTGCGTGTAGAGTATTGTGTGGTGAGTGTATGTGCTGTGTGTGCGCGTGTGTGTGTGGTA